CGTCTACCGACCTCTCTCCTTTCCCATCCAGCAGATGCGTGTGAGAGAATACTATCAGCACAGTCAGATGCCGTCCCCGGCTCAGTGGTTGACAAAGTTAAACAAGCTGTCTACGCATGCCACACAGGGGGCGAAGCGACAAATTTAAGCGCATCAGATTTATTACATTGGAGCATTATCAAATGGTGTCGAACTCAATGGGACTTTACTTCTCCGTGCATCAGTAGACTGTTCGAGTATATTAGTCAACTGGTGATGGTTGTCACAACAAAATAGCCCCTTCAATTGTCCCACACGTGGCCTCGTTACCAAATGATACACCAAGGCAAGTCGGAGGATATGTCTCCTACCCACAAGAAGACCTCCCGAATCCCCACGCATGAGACGGGACCCGTCGCCCGCCATCTACAACCATCAACACCAGTACACTCACATACTGCTAAATGTATTCGATTTCACCCTGATCGCATATTCACCTCCGCTATCGGACTGGTCGGTCACTTACGAATTCATCACACGCCCACTGGCGAACCAGTGACTAGAGCACCAAAATACACTCGTCACAATCCCCTTGACTGTCTTCCATACTCTCGTCTATTCAACCATTCCATTGACGTACTAACCCACATGCACATTCATGAAGACCTGCGGTAGGAAAACACCGGCTAAACATACCACCACATCTCTACTCACCAGCACCTACAAAGCACACTAACATCACCCATCATCACATGACTGACAGTTCGACCATCGGTTTCGATGATGTCCACCGTGTGCCCCACAGTTGCAGCAGCAATGGGAGCAGGGACGGCGACTTACGCAGGGGTTTATAGTGCCGGTAGACTTCCGTAAAATCTACCTACACTCTCTCCTCCTCCCACGCCTGGACCCGGTGTCAAGACAGAGTCAAGAAGACCGGAGACGAGGGAGGCCGCAGGTGGATGGCTCGGACGGATCATCACCTTGGCGTTCCACCACACCCCCTGGTCCACACAGCAATAACCAGGATTTCAACCAACACAACAGAGATTTGGAGGCTGGCACGGCCGAAGCCGCACCTGGGCGTGCCGCCAACGCCTGGCTCGGATCCCACACTGGTGGGAATGCCATAAAGGCCACATTAAAAAGGAGCCATTGCAGCCTGACTCTCAGACCGCCTCCAGTGAAGGAGGAGGTCCAAGGTATTCCGTCAGTTGGCAACCTTCCAAGCCACGGCTTTTAGCGCACCGTGATAGCTTCAAGCGCGTCAGATTGTTTATAGTGAGGAGAAAGTGCGCTGAGTCGTCGACCTCACTCTCCCTTCCCATCCCCACACCCCAGCCGCTGTCCGAGCCGGTCAGAAGACTGGAGTGGGGAATGGGCGCGGTGGCTGACATGGTCGACTGACCATGTCTGCGCGCGCCACAGCACGACCTGGCCCCCATACACATAACACAATCACATAAGTGGCATATCTCATGAATGTGGAAAGTGTGTTTTGCAAGTCTTTCTCCACGAAACGCCTCTGCCGCTGGGTAAATCCAAGCCTGAGGCTATCGCGGTGATGCAATTGCACTGGCATGGAAGGTTATCAACTAAAGCTTCAAGTCAGTCAACGCGGCCAGCCTAGTTATGTGTGTTTGCGTGTTGAGAGGCAGACTGGTGGGCTGAAAGTCGCGCTGCAATGGCTCTTTACTGACGTAACCTCAGGCAGTATACCGACATTCAATTCAATTCAATTAATTCAATTATTTTTATTAAAGACCCGTCGGGGTCCCATCAAAGCAAGTAAAAATAAATTTACATGCGAATTTTAGACAAGGTAGGCAAAATCTGTACAAAGTGCAATACATAGTTTTTGGGATTAGAAGTCCGTTAAGCAAAATGAAAAACAAATGAAAAAACGAGGGGTGAAAAAACTCCATGAGGTGTATGCATACGCCCTTTGCGTGTGAAATCCCGATGTGTGCGGTTGGAGACAGGTCGACATGTGGCATACGTAGACGAGATCAGAAGCTATGTCAGCCACTGCGCCCACTCCTCGCACCTGTAGACTGACCGGCTTGGGCAGTGATAGAGGCCTGAGAATGGGAATAGAGAGAGCACACGTTCCTCACAACAAGTAAGCTAATGCATTTGTAGCTATCACGGTGCGCGAAAGGCTGTGGCTTGGAAGGCTGCTAACTGTTGGTAAACTTGGACCTCGCAGATGGTCCAGTGTTGTGTGTTTGTGTAGAGCGGCCGACTGGTGATCTAAGGGTCAGGCTGCACTGACTCTTTCTTAATGTGACCTTTATGGCACTCCCGCCCCGTGGGATCCGAGCCGGGTGTGGTGGAACGCATAGGGGCGGCACCAGCCGCGCCAGCCCCCCGTTTTTTGTCGGTGTTTAAAATCTTGGTCAAGTGTTTGTTGTTGGCCAGGGTTTTGGTGGTAATCCTAAGTGCGAGTTTTCACCATGCTCTCACGCCTTAGGTTTTCGTGACTTGATTATGGCACCGGATAAAGTTGGAGGAGGAAAAGAGAGAGTGGTTGATGCTGTGAAAATCCACTATTACTACAAACTAAAGCACGCGCTAGTCGCCGTCCTTTCTCTCACTCCACTGTGGCGCTCACGGTAGACATCGTCGAAATAGGCGGTCGAAGTCTCATGAACATTCCCTCGTACTTTCCTTCTGCATAACAGAAACCGATCAAATTTGAGTTTCAGCCTGTGATATGTCCTGTTTTATGCTTAAAAGGCTGTGGCGCACTAGTAGGATATAGTCTGTCATCCAGCAAATGAACTATGTCAAATTTGTTAAGGCGCAGATTGAGAAGACCCAAAAAAGCATTCCCAGAGGCTCCCCAATCTCCGGTTAATTCTCAGGACGTCACGAGTCCCACTTCGCACCGCCAAGAAAATTACCTACGGCGGAAGCCAGACGAGCCGAAAGTTGACTGAGTCTTGGATATCGAGTGAGAATTCAATCGATGTTTCGGACGTCTGGCTCCTGTACGAGTCCAAGAACTCAGACAAATAAACAAATGGTCCTGGTGCTCGATAAGTCTATTTACACCAAGAACAGTCCGGTAGTTACACGCAGGCCAAAATACGAACCGTTATTTGCGCGTCCTGACCGCCTAGTGTACCCTTAAAATACATCAGGTTGTCTGGGCAAATGGATCCACCGTGTTCCTTATGACTAACTAAGTCTGCTGCTGTGTCTGTTCATGCTAGGGGACCAGATATTTGTTCTCTCAGCGACATATCTATTTATTTTACGCTGTCAGGCGTTTCAGGTGCCCTGCCCAGCCTCCGGTCTTCATGACTCCGGGCTCAGGTGGAGGAGGAGAGATTGCGGTAAATGCTACACAAGTCAACACTCACCATAAACTAATTCACGCGTAAGTCACCATGCCTACTTCACCTTGCTGTAAAGCACACGGTGGACATCGTCAGACGCGATGGTCGAGCCGTCACATAACCAATTAGCGAGGTTGTAAGTAGGCGATCCAACGAGTGGCACTATGATGCTCAATGGTGCACCAGCCTTGCACATCTTTGGGAGGCGACATATGTGTGCAATACGGGGTCACTGAAAGTCATAAATCCGGACTCATCGAGGATTATGAATTTCAATTGAGTGGGCTTACTCACCTTCTTCAGAGGTGTGGTCTGTTTTTTTTTAGTTGGATCCTTGGCAAATGGTGTGTAGACATCCCCATCATTAAGGAATTGGTAAGCCTTGCCACCGTAATCAGTCTTTTCCATGACGACGGTTTTGCCACCTTTGTCAGCAGCCGCAATCATCACGATGTTATCTACCCTTAGAAACTATAACCATTTTTCTTCATCTATAGGTAAGATTTTTTGGTGCTTTTTTCGTAGAAGAGACTAGTGGCGCAGTTTCGCGTGTCCGCGTGCATGTCTTCAGGCACGGCAAAGGTCAGTAAGATTGGTTCAAGGCTAGCTATGAAGCTTACGGACGCAGTATAAGTGTGGCTGAATTTTGCTTTATGGGGTGGTGTCGCCAGCTCGAAAATCCACGTCTGCAACTCGATTTTCTCCATATGAGCGTCGTTGCCGACGATGTCCACCGTGTGCTCCACAAAAGGGTGGAGCAGAGACAGTGACTTGCGCTTGGATTAGCTTATAGTAGTAGACTTGTGCGGCATCTACCACACTCTCTCTTCCCCACTCCCCACTTAGACTCGGTGTCAAGACAGAGTCAAGAAGACCGAAGGTGGGGTACGGAGCGGGTGGGTGGCACGGTCGAGCCCGCACCTTGGCGTGCCGTCACACATGGCTCGGATCCCTCGGAGCGGGAGTACCATAAGGGCCACATTAAAAAGGGGCCATTGCAGTCTGACTGTTAGTCCGCCAGTCGGCCGCTTCACACAAACACACACAACACTGGGCCGACTGCGAGGTTCAAATTATCCCGTCAGTTGGCAAACTTCCAAGCCGCGGCTTTTAGCGCACCGTGATAGTTCCAAGTGCGTCAGATTGTTTGTAGTGAGGAAGATGCGCTGGGTCGTCGACCTCACTCTTCCTTCCCATTCCCAGGTCCCAGCCACCGTCCGAGCCGGTCAATTGGCAGGTGCGGAGAATGGGCGCGGTGGCTGACATGTCTAGTGATCTTGTCTGTGCGCGCCACATGCACGAACTGGCTCCCCAAAAACAAGCACCAGAATTTCAAAAAACGAGGGTTGAGCGGCCTGCATCTCACATGCGTGAGAGTACCGTAGTTCACGTTAAGAAGGATCTACTTCAGCCTGGCTCTCAGCGTGCCAGTCCGCCACCCCCCCACACACACGACTGGGCAGACTACGTGGACTGAGTTGGGACGTCAGTCAGCAGCCTTCTAAGCCACAACGGTTGACGCGCCCTGATAGTCTCAGACTCGAATCACACATGCAGCAGAGGGGCTGCATGAAGACAGAGCCGAGACACACACTTCCCATTTTCGTGGGGGGTGGCGATTAGATGGTGGATGATGATGTTGTGCGATGCAGGTGGGGGAAGATGTGATAGTGTGGCTTAGCCGGCGTTTGTTTGTCGCAGGTTTTCGTGAATGCGCACGTGGTCTAATAGGCCCATGCAGTGGATGAATGTGCGGATACAATATGGACAGTGGAGGAGGATGCGGCTAGTGCAGCTTGATGCTCCAGGCACTGGTTGGCCAGTCTCTCTGCGGTGGATTCGCAATTGGCCGACTAGGCCGATGTGTGAGGTGAATATGCGATTGCAATGAGGATAGGAAACGTCAGCGGTGTCAGTGTCGGTTTCGGTGGTGGTGGCAGTGGTGGAGGTGCTGATGGTGGGTGCGCTGGGTGACGGGGTGCGGGTTAAGCTAGGGATGGTGGGTGTGCAGTAGGTGCTAGGTACGTCGAGACTGCGGTCAGTTACGCTCTCGTCGATACGCATGTGACCGAAAAGACCCATGCGGTGGGTGAAAATGCGAGGGCAGTGTGGACAATGGAGGCAAAATCGGAGAGTGTAGATTGGTGCTCCAGGCTTGGGTTCGCCAGTCTCTGTGCGGCGAATTCGCAAGTGACCGACCAAGCCGACGTTTGAGGCGAAGGCGCGGTCGCATTGGGGACAGGTATATACCAGGTTCTCATCACTGGCGTTGACGGTGGTGGTGGTGGTGTTGGCGTTTGTTGGTGTGTCAGGATTGTGTGTAGTGTTCATGGGCGTGGCAGATGCCACAGTGGCTGACGTTGAGAAGATGGAGGAGGATGAGGGTAATGGTGGTTCGGAAAGGCGGCCGACGTTTGATAACGGCGTGGAGGATGAGGCAGAGTTGGACGAGGAGACAGCAGCTGGTGTAGTCCGGGTGCTGCAGTTAGTACGAAGATGTCCTATAATGCCGTATGGTGCCCGTAGCGTCCACTGGCAGCGTGGATAGGTCGGGAGTGGTTAAGCGTTGGCGTCGCGAGGTGGGCGCATTTGAGATTTGTGGGCTTCGTGTTTGGCTTTGGCCGCGGTGATACCTCCGGGCGAGGACATAGTCCAGCAGGTGCCACTGACGCGACCGGGGATACGCCCAGATGTCCTTTTCTCACATCGGGAGGCGGGAGATGGTGTTCGTCAGGATGAGCCCGTATTTTGCACAGGAGCAGGCCATTGTCATTACAGCCATCGAGACCATGGGTACTCAGCACTCCTCTCCAGGCAGCATGGTCTGTGCAGACGCGGGCATTGAAATCACCAAGGACGATCAACTTATCCGCCTTCGACACAGATGCCAGGAAGGCGTGAAGGTCCTTGTGGAATTTGTTCCTCGCTTTGTCAGGACTGGTCATCGGGGAGCGTAGACACTGACGAAGGTGACACACTTGTCTCCCTAGTGAGGCAGGCGGAGGCTCATCAAACGATCGTTAATACACTGCAGCGAACAGATCAGTCGTCCCACGATGGCATTCTGGAGGGTAAAGGCGACGCCCGCGTCCCGGCCCTCTGTCCTGGGGCAACTGCTTCAGAAGGAGGTGTGGCCGGCATCCACCTCCTCCGGCTGGCCTTGTTTGGAGAACCGGGTGTCGCTGAGGGCAGCGATCTCCACCTTGTAGCGTGCCAGTTCCCGAATCACTAGCGCGGCCATCCGTTCCGGTCGGTTGATCCTCGGATTGTTTAGAAGGGGACGAACAATTCAGGCTGTTTGAGTGAGCCGACCCTGTCTGGCGAGTGGGGCGCCTAGGGGGAGGAGGGGAAGAGAGTGTTGTTTCGGCCGTGTGTTTTGCGTCTGCGACCACGGTCAGCCTGCAGACGGTGTGGTTCCCCAGTATCTGTTTAGGGCACCTTTTCTAGTCCCTTCCCCCTGGCGGGGGCGAGCAGTGCTCTCCCTAAATAAGGCTGTTCAGTTGTCCTAGGCAGCTGTCGAACTATACTGTGGGTCAGGGCTTTTGTTTAGGGGAAGAACGACGCGAGTTAGCCTGGGACAATTTACGACATCGCCGTAAGCCGAAATAAGAACGGACAGGCAGATAAAGCCAGCAGGCAGGAACAGCAAGAAGCATAGGCAACACAGGAAGTCCAGCAGCACTACAACTAACTGTTTGAAAGGACAAGTATAAACAAGCAGACATAGATCAATCAACATGAGCAGCATAGAGCATGTAACGGTGACAAACAAAGCAAGGTAATAGAGTAGCGTTCGCTTAAATGAGGGCTCATTTATCTTGTGGTCCCCTGCGGTGTTCCAGACGGAGCCTCGTCTCGGCGATGCCGATGCGGTGATCCATCGGGCCAACCGAGATTACCGTGTGCGAAGATGACACACGGATACCCTCATCTGGTTTAGCCCGCCGATCGTGGCGGTTACAGGAGTGTGGCTGCTAGACAGAGCCTTGCTTCAGGGAGCTAAATGCGAGAGTTGGGTGCCAGCACGTGGATTCTAGGCGTAGTCTACACCTGAAGGCAAGTGAGCAACCTACTACGTCCCTCACGTGAGCCAACCGCTGGACGCCCCTGACACCCCACTCAACAACCACCCCGTTTCGCACAAACACAGTCGCATGAGAACACTTTACCGACGTGTAGAAACCCATTGCACCGAGCCAGAGGTCCAGTTCACGCTAAAACTCTTTAGAGTGAATGTCTACCTTGGGAAATTTGTCGAAAAGTGTGGGCGAGATACCATGAGAAAGAAACCGAAGGAGAAGTCACAACCAAAGTAATGGCCCGCGGTGCCATAGATAGCTGGTGTGCTAGAGGAATTTGCTAGACTGATGGGGGAATTTGGGATTGGTGTCTCTCACAGATTTGAAACAACAATCCGCCACCAACACATGCACCCCAAGGACCCCCTTCCCATAAATCAGAAATCGGGAGTGATCTATCAGACGGACTGCAATTGTGGTCTAGCCATTTATGTTGGTGAAAAGGGCAAACAGGTTCGAACGAGATTGCTGATAGAAGCGAACAGGCGAGTTCCAGGTAGCAGTTCAGAAGACGAAGATGCGATCCCTGGAACAGGAAATTTATTGGCCAGACGTTTCGGATCCTCATTCGAATCCATCATCAGAGACAGTCGCAGATAAAGGTGATGGTGGCACAAGGAGTGCAGTATTTACAGCACGTGGCTGCCGTGGGATCATATGCGCTCTGTAATTAATAGCTATCGCAATCACCGGTGGGGTCGGCGAATTGGCTCACTGCCACTGGGATAGTGACAGTAAGCGAATTTACCGAACAATCGTCACACCAGCATCCAACACGCATGACGAAATCACGGCCATTAACGACTCGGACTCGGACTGACAAGCCACCACTGCATCAATTACGACCCCAGCGGTGACTGCGAGAGCTTTTACTTTCAGTGCGCATATGGTCCCACGGCAGCCAGGTGAAAAATGACTACTATTGTAGCATGCATATTTTCATTGATTTTCGATGCCTTTAAAGATTCAATTATACCTCATGAAAAACAGGCATAAAATATTCATTATTTTGTTCATTTAGTAGAAAATTACGTCTTCTTCCAATTTTATACTCGAAGGAAGGGTATAATTTGGTTTTATAAAACTTTTCTAATTCCCGAATAATTTTGAACTCGACCTGTCGTTACACTTGCATTTGGGGTTCCCAAACTACAAGCTGTTTAAACTTCGCGTACGGTAACCCATGCATCTCTCTATGGTATTAAGAGGAGACTCTATATGGGGTTCATAAAATTAAGCAGTGAATTGGAGCCACATTGTCAACTTTAAAAGCCGCATCGGTAAATGCAGAGGCATGACGTTTTATGAAGAGAAATTTCACGCTATTAAAAAATCTCACAATGAGAAACTTTTAAAACCGAATTTTACCCCTCCTTCGAGTATAAAATTGAAAGAAAACGCAATTTTCTACCGAATGAGCAAAGGAATGAATATTTTTATGCATGTTTTCCGTGAAATGTAATTTAGTTTTTAGGGACATCGAAAATCAATGAGAAAAATGCTCGCCACTTAAGTGGCCATTTTTTGCAGAGTACACTTCTTGCATGCAGCCGGAAAGAAATTCTTTCGAAAGATGACATTCAGAGGTAACTGAATTATTATAGAATTGTGCTGTCCGATGATTAGTTTTACAACCCTACTTGATAAATCTTTTCGAAATGAAAATGCATTTCGGAATTTCGGTTGACATTTCATGAGTTACCCCCCCTCCCCCCTACTGTACCTAAACCGTGCACATCTAACCCCGTACGCATAGTTCATAATTATTATTAGTGTCCTGCAACCCGTGTCCTTTGAAACTTGACTGAAATATCTTGTAAGTACGCTGTACAATAACCAGTATCACAACTCCTACTCGGCAGCGCATTTCAGAAATTTGGATAATATTTCATGAGATCGATCATTGACTGTACTACCGAAATTGTGCAATTTGGACTCCTTCCGTAAAACGCCCTGTTACCCGCTTTCTTTAAACGTAGACAGCATGCCACGGGAAAATTAAGATAGCAAATGTGTCTAACACTTCCTAAACAGTAGTTCACAGGTTTGCACCTCCACTTCCTTGTTCTTACTTATTAAAATTAGTATTTTAGTGCAAAACATTTTGTGTAAGGTCATGGACACCAGGAATACTCCGAAAAGCAACAGGCATTCAACGGATAGGGCATTTCTTTTCTGAGGTCTAATAACGTCACCTGTGGCGACGATTATTTTTCTTTATTAGTTACTAAGACACGTATAAACGAACATAAGCTAACCATCTGCCGACGTGACCTTTCTTCACTTGTGTTTGCGCACGCCCTTGAATGTAACCATCGCTTCAATTGGGAAGGAACTGAAGTTGTTGCCATGACAAACACCAGACAGGCTCGAGAACTCCTTGAACCCTGGCACTCCAACACGACCAGCATCAACCGCCATGTCGATCTGGACGCTCATTATGAGGGTCTGTTCGCCCGGCCCACTGGCTTGCGCCCACGACTTAACAACAGCCGTTAATTCATACTGGGCCATGAAGAATCTCACTATTTCACCACCCCCCTTACTCCAGACACAGCGAATCGCAACTGCAATCCTTAGCACCTCTACGTTGGTTCACTGACCTCTGCCCGCATGCGGGGTCGGCGACCACTAAGTCCACTGTCCGTAGTTCCATTGAATCGCCATCTCCCTACCTTCCAACACAGGGAGCCGCAACAGTTCCCCCTTCTCTCCCCTGTCATAAATCATAGCCTAATTATGTGCCTACCCCTCCTACACATTAGTTGCTTGCCTGTCAGTGGCTGCCCTGTCACGCCAACCAGTTTAGTCTGATCATCTCACTTTCTCATCTTTTTATTTCGTCTGACGACGGGTTGGTGTCACCAGCTCGAAAATTCACGAGTACAACTCGATTTTTTTCTGACGAGCCCTCTATCTTCATCGTATTATCTCGGAATGCACACTACCTCAGCTATTCCATATAGATAGATGTTGAAGTCATATATTTTCTTTGGGAAAAGAAACTTTATTGGGCAAATTTTTGCCGTCGCTTTCCCGGGTCGTTGTTGTACACAGACGGAGAGAAAATGTGCCAACACAATTAACATCTTATACATATGTATACATATGAGAAGGTAAGGCGATCACAGGAACTCGGGGTTTCATTGGCCTGACGTTTCGAAAGCAACCAAGCTTCCATCATCGGAGGTGGTTTGTGTACGGCATTTCACAGTTGTTAAGACTTTTCCTTTGTGCTGGCGTGTCACTGATTTCCAGCGCGCTGCATCGCGGGGTCGGCAATTGTTGTCATGGTAGGATCCGTTCCTCCTCATCCTTTGTCGTGTGTGGGGAGGGGGGCGGTGTCTGGGTGATCGCGGCCATTGCTCTTGTTTTCATTGTCCGTTGTCCGCCCTCCACCCATCCCGCCTTCCTGCCCCGTTCACACCTGCCCGTAACCGTGTTGATGGTGGTTGTCATGCCAGTGTTGACGTCGGGCTGGGGGTCCCTGTCACTGCCTCGGCGAGTGCTCGCGTCTGTCTGCGTTCTGACCCAGTAAGCAGTCTCCTGGGTTCGCGTTCGCCGGCGGTTGTCCTCTGTTTTTGTCTGTTTCCGGCGCCTGTCCATACTCGTCTGGATTTGACTACTGTCGTCTTTACCTGGCGCCTCGCCCGTAGTCCTGCTTATTGAACTTCACCCGCAGGACTTGGTAGGCAGCCGGCAAAGTTACGCACCAGTTAATCGAGGTAGTTGTGGTGGCGTAGTTAACATTCCTACACAGATGCCGAAACAGGAAGATCTTGCCAAAATCTGTGCATGTGGACCCAGCTGTTAAATCTGCCCTGGGATATCAAGTCACATCTCAGTACAGCCAAAGAATGCTTGATGCGTTCATAACCAATGCCCACTACCGAATTCAAAAATTCCAAGTTTCTACAGAGCAGCACATGCCGTTTTGCCGTGACCAACTTCCTTTACGTCTATTCGAATCCCCAAACAACACGATTACGCGTGTCTTCGAGCTCGAACGACAGAAAAGAGGAGCATTTTGGACAGAAAGTGGATGGCCATTTCATAACAGACGGATGCAAATCTGAAGTAATCAAAGAAGGTCGTAAATCCTTCCTCGAGAACGCTTAAAACAACAGAAGAGAGTGTGCTTTCCAAGGGGCTG